GATGTCTGAGCAGGGGATGGAGAGCGTGACCTGTGGGCGGAATTGGGCTGGCGATGAGGAGGCGACTCGTGATAGGGAGACCACGTTGTTGAAGGTCCTCGAAAACCAGGGTCGTCATGGCGAACAATGTAGTCGTCATTGGCACGGCGACCGTCGTACCCTGGCCGAGACGGGCGAAGCGATGTGTCGCGGTACCAACAATAGCGAGCTATATGGCCGGCACCACCACAGTTGAAGCAGAGAGGGCGCCGATCGACGGTGCGCCAAGCGTCCGTTCTGCGAAATTGTGGGCGTCTTATGTCCTCTCGTGGTGGTGAGTAAGGCGCGGCAAGTGGTGGCTGGTGGCATGGAGACATCGGAGACATGGGCTGACGTCTGAAAGCCTCCTGCAATGGTTGCGACGAAGGTGCGGCTGTAGGTGGCTGGTAGTATGATGTAATAGGGGGGACGGGTGGTGGTCGGCGGACAGCGTCGGCGTAACTCAGTTGACGCTGATCGCGATCGAGATCAGCTGCTGAAAAAGCGTGCCTAAGTTCGTCACGAACGACTGCGGCAACGGCGGTCACTGGTGTATCCACTGGAGGAGTCCAAAGCTTCTGCATTTCTTCGCGGACAATATCTCTGATAAGGTCACGTAGGGAGCCCTGATTGTCCAGAGTCACTGAAGCGGCGTTGATTGGGGTGGTAGTGGACGAGCGATCATATTGCCTCGATCTTTGGTGCAGAGCACGCTCAATGGCAGTGGCTTCTCTTATAAAATCGGCCACGGTAGTTGGGGCATTGCGCACAAGTCCAGCGAACAGTTGTTCTTTCACGCCACGCATAAGGTAGCGCAACTTCTTCTCCTCGGACATGTTGGGATCAGCCCGACGACAGAGGCGCGTCACGTCTTCAGCAAACATTGCCACAGTTTCGTTAGGTTTTTGAAGCCTTAACTCGAGCAACTGCTGAGCTCGCTCTCTACGGTCGACGCTAGCAAAGGTGTCAATCAGCTGCTGACGAAAGTCATCCCATGTGGATATACGGCCTTCTCGATTCTCAAGCCACGTGTGAGCGCCGTCATCGAGAGTGAAGTACGTGCGGGCGAGCTTCTGTTGAGCATTCCACTGGTTGATGTCGGCAACGCGTTCGTAATGCTCAAGCCAATCTTCAACATCTTCGTGTGGGGCGCCACTGAAGCGATCAGGCACAAGGGGCTGAAGAAGTGTTACCTGGGTTGGATTGGAAACGGGGCTGCCTTGTATCCCTTGGACCAACTGTGGCTGGCTAGCGGAGGCCATTGGTAGAGGTACGTAATGCCTGGTAGAATGTTCGTCGAAGGAGGTCAGCTCAGGAGATAGGCCTAGCAACCGCCGACTGAAGCGGTGAACTGGTGTCGTAACAGATGGCTGCGTGTCGGGACTTGATGAACGGCTCCCAGATGGGGTGTTGAGCATCGGCAGGCTTGCTACCCAGCACCTCCACCAGTGTCGCGGTTCAACGTAAGCAGTGCACCGAGACGTTGAGTCCGAGAACCGACGGCGTGTGTTTTTATGCAGGAGCCAAGAGCAGGCGAACAAAAACAAAAGCACGTCGTCTTCTTCAGTCCCCCTTTTCACGAGACTGTTGGCGCGCACATCGTCTTCGTTCTTTGTTTCGGGCGCGGCAATATAAATAAGTACGGGGAGAGAAAAAATTGCAGAAGTTGTCGGCGAAAAATCACCTCTCGGAATTGTCGTAACCCCTCGGATAACCAGGTAGTTAAGCAGAGCGAAACGTAGCCTTGAATAGTACAATATGGCAAGGGGGTGACAAAGCGCTGTGAGGATGAGGAGGAGGGAGGAGAAGAGGCAGGAAAGCGTAACTTAGAAATCAAAATAGAAATATAAGGAAAAATAGACACAGACAAAAAAAGAAATCGAAGAGAGGGAGAGAAAAGATACGAGAACAAGAGCATGAAAGAGCAAGCGAGATATAGAGAAACAGACAAACAAAGGAAAAAGAAAGAAACAAATTCAAATGGACAGACAGGAAGCGCATAGAAAAAAAATAAAATAGAAGCAAGAAGAGGAACATGGAAGAATGCGATGAGTAATTCGAAAAACATGGGGTAGGTTTCCGGAGACGACGTTTTGACTAGCGGCAATAATTTCAGTTACAGCCTTGGAAAAAGACAAGTCCGCTTGCCAAATGTCGGCTACAACACCCCACCCCATGTTCCCGAATTTCTCATAGAAAAAAAATCACAGCGTATCCACCGAGTGGAGGACGATGAATTTGGCGAAGCATCCGTTCTTTCGTGTGCCCAACCATCCGTGCGTCCGTCCGTCTGTATGTCCGTGCATGATTCCGTCGATCTGTCCTTCCGTCTGCCTGTCTGTGCGTCTTTCTTTCTGTCTGTCCGTCCATCTGTCTCTGTCTGTCTGTCTGTCTGTCTGTCTGTCTGTCTGTCCGTCCGTCCGTCCGTCCGTCCGTCCGTCCGTCCGTCCGTCCTTCTATCTGTTCATTCGTCCGTCTGTTCGTCCGTCTGCCCGTGCGTGATTCCGTCGGTCCATCTGTCTGTCCATCCGTTCATCCGTCCGTCCGTCTGTGTGTCCGTGCATGATTCCGTCGGCCTGTCCGTCCTTCCATCTGTCTATCTGTGCGTCTGTCTGTCCGTCCGTCGGTATGCCTCTCTGTCGGTCCATCCGTCGGTCTGTTTGTCTGTATGTCCATCCATCCGTTCGTCTGTCTGCATGCCCATCTGTCTGTATGTCTGTCCCTCCGTCCGTTCACCTAGTGAACGCTCCAAGTACCGCCATCTCTCATCTTTTCATCATATATTCATCAAATACAGGTACGCCATCCAGGGGACATTCCAAAGAATAAAACGAGAGGTGGCTACCACATACGCACGACTCACGCCTTAGGGAGTTTCGCCCCTAAAACAGAGTGATCAGAATAAAAGGGGAAGAAAAATGTGGAAAAATAAGCACAACTCGCACTAAGTTGCGGAAGAGTTAGTGACAACAGATCTGGTGGGCACCTAGCCTGTGCTGATTTAACTAGGCTTTTACCCTTTCACCTATGTCTTTCCCACATTTCGCTATACTATACTTTACATGACCATGCTTGCTCTCTTTTCATCTTTTCTTTAGATTCTGTCGTTCTCTCTTTTTTCTTTATGTTCCTCTGACTATCTTTTCCTGTCTTTCTTCCCGTTCTTCCTTTTGTCCTTCTTTTTGAAAGTATCTCTCTCTACCTCTTTCTACAGCGGCTTCCTCGACTTTTATTGTTTCCAGTCTCTTTTTCTTTATTTTTCTTTCCAACTGCGACACACGCAAACCTCTACTATAACAGCTCTCCTGAAAAGTTCATATAGCACTTGCCTCGGCACTTTGGCAAGTCCCCCTACTTGCCATACTGGTCAACTAAAAATTAACAAGGGAACACACGGACGGCAGACACCGATTAGCGGTTGCAAGATGCAGCTTCTCTTGTCAACCTACAGTACAGTGTGCTTAGAACTTAATTGAGCGCTACCCTCCGATTGGCTGCTGCGCTGGCTGTGCCTGGGTACGCGGAGAACGAATGCCTCTCTGTCTCCTAGATAGTCACCGTCCGTGGCGGATCGTTGGTGGGGCATGGACGAAGCAGAGCGGCGGGCGCGTTGAAGACGCTTGCGCTCAGCTTCCTTGGCTCCCGTCTCGTCGATGTTACCCGCGCGCCGTCTGCATTCTCGAACGCGATCGGAAGCATGAACGCATGTACGTAGGGACGGACACACATACGGATGGACATACGGACTCTTCGCCCCACTCATCATCATTCACTCCGTGGATATGCTGTGATGTTGTGTAATTCTGGGCTCAGCCGTGCGTAAACAATATGAAATTTGGATCCCACCATGTATGTACATACTTTCCGTACCTACTTCAAAACCCGGCTACTTAGGCTTCCACTAATACCTTTCGTGTAAAACGAAATGATTGCGCCTGTTCTATTTACTCTCACATTCGTGGGGAAAAAATGGACAAAGATTCAAGACGAAATGTCTTGTAACATCTGCGTAGAATAAAGAGCACCGTACAATACAACCATAAGGCTAAGAGCTTTCGTGAGATGGCAGATATGTCATACTACAATGTAGTATCGCTTTCTTAGCAGCAAAACAAAGAATCACGCATGTTCAGACATATAGATACATGCACAAACGCATATGAAATGAGCCACGTTTCTATCTATTTTACCACCACTATCTGTGAGGGTATGGGTGTAGTGCATAGTATGAATATCATTTGGATCAATGCTGAGAAACGCACTCGTTGGGAACCATTCCTCCAAGTTTCATTGCCTTTAATTTCAGGCGACTAAGAAATAAAGCATATTTTTGAATCTGTCTTTCTAGGTTGATAGCAGTGAATTTATTGAACCTTCTTTACTCTACAGTTTTCGAATTTCTCAGTTTTTAAACATCTGAGACTGAGACTATAAATGTAAAAAAACATGGTGCCCTGGAGCTAATTAATTTGCCCCTTCTTAAAATAATTCTTTGTGGTAGGACGTTATTGAGCATGAAAAGTGTGACGAAGGGCATTTTCGTGCATATTTATATACGGCTTGTTGCAATTAATCCATAATGTACCAGGTGAAATGTAAACAATAAGGCCACCTTTTGTTACTCAAGAGAAAAAATTGCGGATCTTATTTCGCACAGTCTCACAGGTCGATATTAAATCGGCATGAAAGATAATTACGACTATTCACTGAGAGTGAAGAAGAATCGACAAACAAGAAATCTGTACGCCGTTACGGAACATTATTCCATCATCACCTGGGTCAATGACCGTATTTCACTGCCACCAGTTAGATCCGACCACGGTCCGACCTAATGAACTTTCACCGAAACCTTCGATTATTAGGAGACGCGGGATTTGGGGCTCTTCCAGACCAGTAATAAATACCAAAACCCGGAAATATTGTTAGCGATTGAGACATGCGAGTGAGGTTATCCATGCCTAATAACAAATTCGTTATTACAGATGTATGAGATGCGCCACGAGAACATCAATTCCTTCCTGGGTTGCTTGGCGGACCCGTCGAAGCCGGCGCTCGTGTGGGAGATGTGCACGCGAGGTTCGCTCACCGACGTGCTGGCAAGCGAGGACATCCGCCTGGACTGGACATTCCGCCTGTCGCTACTCAACGACCTTGTTAAGGTACGCCACCGTTTCGGAAGCGAAGCGAGCCATCGTAAACATACCATCCCCTCATCTTTTCCTCATTGGAATTTCGTTCCCCAGGTTAGGAACCAGAATACTTTCTTGCAGCCGCCAGTTCTTTCGAGAGCTTTATTCTAGCCACTGTATGTTCTAATACACTATGATAGTATCCGAAATGTTCTTTTTACTGAATTTTCAACTTTTTTTCTATTTTCGAACGCTTCCTGTGATTTCCTGGCTTGTATATCTAACACTTCCAAGGTATATATACCTTAAAACTCGGATAGGTTATCTTTGTTCATCGTGTAATAAGAAGGGGTATGTACAAATGTCTTCAGTAAAGCCTAAACGTGAAGTGAAGCCTAAACAACGAACCAAAGTCATATTGTACGTAGCTGAGGACTGTACATCGTATATACGCGTATGGCTTCTTTTTCGTTTAACCTCGCTTTTCGTTCGGCGGCATAAACAGGAGCGTTTTACTTTATCTCGTGTTATTTATCATATGGCGTATCTCCCACTTTACTGGCAAAAAAACCTTATTTCTTTTTCTTATATTTTTTCTAGAGCCTTTTTTAGCTATAGACACATCAAAACAGTACCTCAAGCTCTCATTTCCCTAATGTCTTATAAGCACATCCGTCCGTTTTCAATATCTTCTCCCGCACTCGAATACCACCGGAAAGACAGCGGCATCAATCATTCACCGATTCGTCCATCCTGTGCACATTTCGAGCCTTTCAAACTCCTCCTCGGCAATGATCCAAAGCTGGTTTACGTACCTTCCAAAACGATAACAACTCCCAACCGTTCAGCTTCTCGCTGAACTCGCCAAGAGGCATCCCTCTATACATCTTTTCTCTCCCTCGTTATTTTTTTTCTATCTCTCTCTCTTTCTACTTATTCGCCTTCCCTTTCAAGTCTCTTCGCGAGTGGCCTGAATAAATGACGACATCCGTAAGTCAGTGCGCACAGAAACACTCGCTTTGTGTTTGTTTTCCCGCACATGGACTTGGTGTGCGTTGCTCTATCAAAAACAAGAATCGCTAACCGTATGTACCGACTGCCATCACTCTCCGCCCACCAGTGACGACGATCAAGAGACGCGGTCCCCGTTAAGCTTACCAATCGCATCGTTGCAGCAACTCTATCCTACATGGATTCAGTGGAGAGAACACAGTCACCACTCATGCTATCTTCCTTACACTTTTAATATGAGTGTATGTGTGTTTCCCTTATACGGCCGGAACTCCTACGACCAACTCACCGGGTTTCTCTTGGCGTCGAGGCTCTTTACTGGTGGTCCTTGAGTGGCGGACCTTTTCTCACTCCGTAGAGGTCATAAAAACAAAAGCGCCAGTGTTTTTCGTCACGTGATTTTTTTTACGTACACGGGATGTACTGTTTATCTTCCTTCAAAACGCTTATCTCTTTTTTTCTTTGTTTCACTGCTTTTCGTCGGGCCTTCAGGAGAAATAAACCAAGCTGCTGTCGTGACACTACTCTTTATATTTGGGAGAGAGAGAAATTCGTGCCTTTCGGCGCTTGTCGTCGGCTGGCCAGGCGAGTGAGTGAGCTAGCGACCGTCTTTAACCTTGCAGTGTCGACATCAATTCAGCCGCCAATGTCGCTGAACTTGCACCGCGGAGCTGTTGTCATTTCTCAGCACCACTCTCTCCATTTCGCTGTTCCTCCGTCTCAACGACTGCGCGACGCACACAACCCAGAGCTCACGCTGCATTACGTACGGCGACAGCAGCGCCGCCCTTTCGACGGGCGGCGACACGATTCCTCGGGCGTTCGAGAGATGTACTAACTTTATACCGTATAGCACTTTATTTCCCACTCACCCGGTGTTCGCGACAGGCATTCCCGTTTTTTTTTGTCTATTTTCTCCTTTATTTGTATATCATCAGCTTCACCGAAATTCCTTTCTTCGCGTTCTTTTCGCTCAATCTTTCTTCTCGTCACTTACCGCTGATTTCTTGACTTATGTGCACCTCTATCTACATGGCGTCAGCTGCGGATCGCTCGCCTCTTGCTCTTTGTTTAAGCCCCTCCACTCCCAACCACCCGCTCTCTGTATCCGGTCATCATTTCTCTCGATTTCGGCGCGCTCTAGGCGAATATCCTTATCATTCTTTTGGAAGCTCTGGAGGGGCTTTCGCATATCGTTCACATACACCGCCGACAGCGCACGCACGATTTAACCGTGCCAAACCCCTTTCTTCGCCTCCTGTCGTTTTCCTCTCTTCCGCGCCTTTGTTTTGTAATTTTCCTCGCTCGCTTTCTCCTTCTTCTTGAAATTCGCTTGTAGTCTCTTTGTCTCGTGCTTTGTTTTCGGGGCACAGGCGAGAAATAAAGCTGTACGAGAACACTTGGCGTTCTTTCTCCCCGTCTTGTCTTTTATATCTGTTTTCTTTGTTTTGCCACATTCATCTTTTCTTCCGCTCTTCACTGCGAATCAAATACAGCCTCCGAGACTCTGGAATGCACGTCAGTCAAATTCTGCGAGATCGCGTATACTCGTCCGCAGTGCTGATGGAACGCAACCCCGAAGGCAGAACGATTGAAGAGAAAATATAAGGGCCCAAAACTAAACGCCGCTTTTTGGCACACGACCCGTTTGGTGCCCTCGGCGATACATTCCAACGGCGAAGCCTGGAGGAATGTTATTCGATACAAGCCTCTTCTCTTTTTTTTTTTACTTTTTCCCCTCGGTGAAAATGGAGCGCAGTCATTGAAAAGACTGAGAGGGTCAGGTTCGCTGAGTGAGAAAGGTTGCTATGTACACCATTGCATTTTTTTTTTTACTGTTTGCAGGCTCTCTACCACGGCAAACATCATCACGGCAGACGCCATGTACGTGATCGAAGACTCGGAGTTTTGAAATGTAAATCTTATTAGCTTGTGTCAAAACACTACGTACATTAATTTGCGCTGTTTGTCTCCAAAGTATCTGAAGGAAAGGTCAGCGACACTTAGATGTACCAACGGTACGGCAACCTCGATCGACTATTCTTCAATGCGCTCCATGCGATCAACAAACTTTTCAGTGGCACGTCGAGAAAAGATTTACATAGCAATTTCATCCTTGGCTATAGCACCCCGCCTTCCTCAAGTCTTTGCTATGTGAGCTTCTTCGCCAGTTCTCGATAAAGAACATAGAGTGGTCGAGGTTTACGGAGCCTTCCTCTATACGACGTACCTCATAACGATATCGTTTTTTTAGGAACCCTAAATCTCAGTAAGTGTTACTATTAGTTGTTATTGATGTCGTGCTCGTCCTCGTCATTCTTGTGAATGAAGATGACGATGATTATGATCAGGACTATGTTACTGGTGATGGTTTGGGGGCGGTATTTAATGGCTGTCAGCTCTCTTGCGTGATGGACTCAAATAGACAACTAGGCTAGTTGAAAGCTTCCATTGTGTCCGGGTACACTCCTACATACGCGGCCGAAATCCACCACACTTTGTCTTCCCCGTTCTTCTTCTCATCTTTATGATACACTTTCAATTCCCTTCTTCCTTCCTTTGCTTGTGTTTGGCATCGTTGGCTATTGCCTGTTTGTACATTTATATCCCAAGGTTATCTATGCTTGTTCGAAAAACGACGCCATCAGTTCACAGTTGATGCATTTTTCGTCCATGTTCCAGAGATTCCTTGCATATCTCTTCCACTGACCAGCTAGCAATTTTGTGCACTTCTATTTAAGTGCTTCTGATATGGGCACGTTCCCCAATTTTCTTCTAGGATGAATGTCATACCATTTTATTAAATGAGCCGAATCATTTCTGCTCAACAGCATTTGCGCCACATATGCGTTTCTGGTGCTTCCACAAAAGTTACTTTCCCGACGTAACCGTGCGCGCGCACGCACGCACACACGAACACACACACAAACACACAAACAAACACACACACACAAACACGCACACACACTCGCACACAAGCACTAACACCTCTAAAATCGAGGCATTGTCATTCGCAGGGTGTGACACTCAGTGCAAATGAATACAAAAAATATGTAATGGAAAAATAACACTTTTTAGCAAACAAAGCTACTAAGTTTCCGGGCATGTTTCATTTCTCAGCGTTTATTTCTTTCTCAGCGTGTAAGATAGTACATTCAACTACTGCCCTCGCAGTGGTCGCACATTGTCCATGCGCATTCGATATCTCAAAGAGGCTGTACGTATATATATATGTATTGCAGGGTATGAGGTACCTGCACAACTCGCCAATAAGACAGCACGGACACCTGACGTCACGTAACTGCGTCATCGACTCACGCTGGGTGCTCAAAGTCACCGACTACGGTATGCCCGCCTTCCAGGATCTTCAGGCCATCGCAACTCTAGTAAGGTCAGCCAAAGGTAAACACCTCGGTCGCCCTTGTGATACGCTCGTTTCTTTCTGTTTCTATCATTACTTCCCACCTGCTGTGATAGACATCCTGGCGCTCTTCTGGTTAAATTCTTTGTCTTATGCCTTTCAGTTATTACCTCCTTTACTGTATATATTATGCCGGAAGATTCTACGATCTGACCAGCCCGTTTCGGGACCATACCAGTAGCTCACTCGAGCTTCGGAAACTTTAACGATTATCTTCATGTATTTACGAACGCATCTGTACGCAGCAAGTGTCCTTGTGTCGTTGCACATATACATTATAGATACTATTGTTGTTGTTGTTCTTGTTGTTGTTTATGATGATGATGATGATTACAATACTATTTATAATAGTAATATTAAATTGTTTATTTATTCATCTGTTACTTTCTTTTTTTCGTAATTCTGGTTTTAATACGTCTCTGCCTAGAGCCTTTAATTAGACTTCCTACACACAGCTGCTCCTTTGCAGCAGATACTAAAGGCTAATAGTCTTTTGCTTACAAAGCATTGCTCTGAGATTTTATCGGCAATCACCTATAAAGAGCAGAGAGCAGTTTGTCATGTTGAGAGGGCAGTGCTTGAGTTGCTTGAAGTTTCGTAAGCGGCGTAGGGGGCAGGGGTAGGCAGACCACAGGAGGCAAAACTGCCTTCATATCCGGTTCCCACGTCTCCTCCCCCCTCCTTTCCCCTCACAAGCATCCTGCCATTCTCGATAGCCTTTAAGAAAGAACTCATATACAAGAGCCTTTCTCTAAAGTGTCGAATAGGGAACACCACCACAGCAAACCCCAAACAAAGCACGCAGTGTTCTGACGAGAGTAAAAAGAACTAGCCTTTTTGGAAGTGGCCTTTGAAGTTTAGCGACAAACGGACAATGCAAACTTGCATCCGCTCAACTGGAACGAGATTTCGAACAGCACGTTTCATGTCTGATTTCCTGTTGGTTTTTGGGATTCGCGTCTTTGGGTATGTCTTTTTCTTTTTCTTTTCTTCTTTTTTTTTCCTGGCACCTTCTAACACAAAGAAGAAATAGGGAGTGAGCAAATGTCACAGTAAAGTCTCGCGAAGACAAAGAAAAAGTAGTTTTGTGGGTGGAAAAGGTCACGAAACAAGTGTTAAAGTTGCAGTTGAAGCGGCACAAATCTCTCCGTGTCCCACGGGTCCTTCCTTCTTTCTTTCATCGCTCGCAGACTTGTTGTGGACGGCGCCCGAGCTGCTCCGCGGAGACTGTTCTCTGCTGCGTCGTGGCACTCAGTCCGGCGATGTGTACAGCTTCGCCATCGTGATGCAGGAGGTGTTGCTCCGGGGAGACCCCTACTGCATGCTGCCCCTAACGGCCGAAGGTGAGAGCGCGCCGCCATGCCTGAGCGGGCAAGCCAGCTTGGATCGGGTGGACCGCTTTGTGCGTGTTTGCTGTCGGGCACCGTTGCCGCGTGCGATGTGCCCGGGCCCTGCGTCCGAACTCGGTTACCAAATTAACCGGACTCTTCGCGAGTTGCAGTGCCCCGGGGAACGCTTAGACAAGCGTGCAAGGCCGAGCGGGTCGCCATAAATCGCGGTGCCGTAACACCTCGGCGAGTGGATCTGCAATGAGTCCGTGTACGGGAGTCCCATTTGCGTTTCTCCTCCTTCCCCTTAATTCTTCATTTAGTTCTTGCTTCTCCTCTCTCCATCTTATTCTTGTTACTCATTGTTCTACTACTAATGCTCCGTCGTACTTCTCATTGCTTCTTGTTCCCTTTCTTTACTCTCTTCCTACCTTCCTTCCTTCCTTCTTTCTTTCCTTTTTTTTATTTCTTTTCTTATTCTTTTTTTTCATTTTTTTCTCTCATTGTTTTCTTTCTTTTACTGCTATTGCTTTTTTTGTGCACAACTTCTTTTTACTTAGTATTTATCTTCTCCTTTTTCCTCTTGCCAGTGTTGTCTTCTCATTTATTCTTTTGCTTGTTTGTTATCTTCAATTCTTTTTTTTTCTTTCGGCCTCTTCCTTTTTTTGAATTCTCCTTTTACTTCTTCTTTCTTTTCATCTTATTCGGCAATTTTCCCGCCATTATACAAGACCCTCCACAAAGGTCACGTGCCTTCGCGAAACGGAGCCATGGGACGCGTTCTTTTGTGAGAATATTTTATTCATTATTGTCGTATTCTCAGCACGAAACGTATTAGCTGAACAAGTAGCCATGACAGCGAGCCCATTCATAAATAAGTATTACTCTATTATACCTGACATTGTTTCTAGTTTTACTTTCGTAGTCTCTTTTGCAATGTCAGTCTTTCGGGTTCACGTCACTTAGCATCTAAAGCAATTTACGGTTTTAGGAGAGCCAGTTGGCGCAAATTTTTACCTATTAGCTTTTTTTTTTTCACTTTTCTGCTCTACTACTTCGAGATTGGGCGCACGGGGAATTCCGGAAGCTCAGCCCACGCGGAAAGATCTCTAACGCCTCGTTAAGTCTATTTTGGCATCGTACTTCCAACTCATTCGACGTGTTATCCGCGGCGCAGTGCTTCTGCTCTTGACAGGATTCGGACAAGCCGTCACACTTGCCGTGCAATTGCGCGAGGACAGATTGGACGCCCCATTACTTTAGGTCAATCGCGGCGACGTGCTTTGCGTCATGACAGCGTCAGGCGTGACGCGAGCAGCGCACCCACTGTTCTTTGTCACTCTGCTCCGAAATGACAGTGGTGGGAAAGTTGGAAAAGTATGGCCAGCATGTCAACAACTACCGACTCTTTCTTCTTACAATCGCGCCAATTGTTGTGGATTTTCGAGCGAATCTTTCAGTAGTGCCACTCCTATGTGTGCCTTGGTGACAGCAATAAAGTCGTGAATGTTGAATAGTGACCTACTGAACGAACTGTGACATGCTGGCTTACTAACCAATTTTCTTGCTTTATCAGCGGTCGATCGCTCTATTGTTCTATACATCTTGAATCGGCCCTAACTTAGGTGCCTGGTAGTGGCGCTCACACGTCGGCCTTCGTGGGCTCAGAACTCAAAAACCGTGCAGAAAGAAGCGTTTGGTTGAATTTCTGCTCCGCCAAGTGCCACTATACTATTACTGCTACTCACAAGAAATACGTGTGCTTTTAATAAAATTGTTTATTTTTTAATTATTTATTTGTACAATTCATTGACCTATATACCCTACAAACGTATGGTCTGATGTAGGATATGCACCAATATAATTCTTAAGTTTAACTAGACCAATGGATTTCGCACCAGGTTTAGTCCCAGAACAATGGAGAAGAAATATCTTTAGTGCGGCGCACGACTGACGCTTTGCCATGTTGTTAAAGCGACTATGGCTGTGACGTCATGTACAACGACAGAGTTACAAACTGTGACTGAATGTGTGTGTGTGTGTGTGTGTGTGTGTGTGTGTGTGTGTGTGTGTGTGTGTGTGTGTGCGTGCGTGCGTGTGTGTGTGTGTGTGTGGTGTGCGTGTGTGTGTGTGTGTATGTGCGTGTGTGTGTGTGTGTGTGTGTGTGTGTGTGTGGTGTGTGTGTGTGTTGTGTGTGTGTGTGTGTGTGTGTGTTTACTGCAGGCACTTTTGGCGTCTATCTATCTTGCCGCCTCTTACTGGGTGCTCTGATGATGACAACCTTAACTTGGGGTGAACCAAAGTTAGTATTAGAGGTGCTAGTGTATAATCGATTTTTTGACGAATATGTCTAGCTGCTCATGACGTGGCTAATGGCACAATCTCATCGCGTACATCATAAAGACCTTCCGCCAGACGTTTGGCACATACCCGCGGGTTGGTATGGGCCACAGGTGATTAAAATTTTATGTATACTCAGGGATGGTCAGAACAGACATGGATTATTTTAACGCGTAAGTGTAAATGAAAATCTGACATCGGCACGGTGAGCCAAAAAATATCAAGAATAAATGCTAGTATTAGTTCTTCTATTTCTTCTATTGATTCATCTTTATTTTATTATTTTCTTTCGAAATATAATTTGCTATTTTTTTTCTTCTTTTAATAATATCCTCACAATCAGTGTGTCACATATAGGCTACTGCAAGCTTTCGTGTCCGATCCCCCAGAGTGGGTATGTGGCAGTGCTTACAGGCAACAAACAAACAACAAATGACCGGTTCCTAGCAGGAATTGAACCCCATAATTCTGCGTGACATTCAAGTGTTCTACCACATATTCACGCCAGGTATAGAAAGTACTTTTCAAACAGGTCCTAATGTTTTTTAAATGTCAATTGTGGCTGTAGTGATTGCTATTCATTTCTGTAAATATTACACATTCTCCTCAAGCACCGATAAATTTGTTCTCACAAAGGGGAAATGAAAACACATCTTTGAAATGCACGCACATACAATATTATTCGAGAAAAAAATTGCGCCTGCACGGCTAACAGCTTTTGCTCTCATGTGTGTGTACTATAAGTCACACTGGGTCTTGATGCGCAAGAAATGAACCAAACTCGCCTATAACAAAATTTTACATTTGCTCGCGAAAAACACTCTTGTTGTTTGGGAATATCCTAGTAGCCGTGTCACGCAGATGTGATGCATAGGAAGATGCTGCACCGGAACTTAATTGTTCGCTGAGGACATCCCAAGTCGTAGCATCCAGAGGAAGATACCTTATTTGCAAGCTCTGGCATGTTGCTTACTCGAGTAGTTTTTTGTTCAGGAGGCTCCTTGGCTTTCAGTAGCTTTCGCGGTGGCTCAGCTAAGATTCAGCACCAAACCTATTTTTCGGTGCTAGGTAATGGGCAAACAAAAAAAACAGCCTCATCGTCAGACATTTAGAGGTGCAAGGGGTCAGTGATGGTTATTGTCTCGAGAAAACCTTCTGCCTTTTCGTCAAACATTCCTAGGTGAAAAAAAAATGCCTAAGTTTAATCCCAAAAAAGCCTAATACCAACCGCTTGAGGCTGGATTTGGTACGCGTGTTGAAACGCGTATTGATACCGAGTGTTCATTATAATGCACACTTAAATGAACGCCTTGTGATAACAAAAAGAATCGTCGTTGTGTTGACATGAAGTGCAGAAATTATTCCTACACCTTTACCAAGATTATTGAAACATCAATTTAAAAATATACCGCATGTATATTCAGTACTTTGTGACTTTGATGGACACTGTCAGAAGAACGCGAAGATGAGAATTCCGCTTTGTTTGAAAGCGTGAAATCATCGCTTCCACTGTAGTGTGCTTCCTGTAACGCTGACCAGATGACAACACATGACCGTGGATGCGGTTGCACGTAAAAAGTGGCTTTAATAGTGGCGCGCGTATCTCGCATAGGTAAAACACAAATGTGCATTTTAAGGCATGCAAGGCCTGAATTGGATATGTGCTTCTATAATATATCCATCACGTCGGATTTACGTCAATTGTAGTTAAAGGTCAACTCCAATTTTTCGAGGTCAATCGATCTCAAAACAATTCACTGGTTGCGGCAGCTATGAAATGATAGAACACGTTCTCTGTCTACAGCGTGCAAAGACAGCCGCTAACTGCTGCGTTAGCCCGCCTTGACGACAGACCCTTGTCAGAACAGCTCAAGAGCCGACACAATCTGTCTTCGCACAGAAAATCAATGAAAGCCTTATAGAACGTTTTGCTTGGTAGTGACCTATTGAATAGGCTATAGCACCTCCGCTCTCCTTTTTCTTTTTCGTGCGTCTATTTTCCTCTTTTCCTTCTTTCTCATCTTTATTCCCCATTCCCCTTTCCTTTAGTGCACGGTAGCGAACCGGATGGCCAAACTTCTGGCCAACCTCCCTGCCTTTCCCTTATTTTATTCTCCCTCTCTCTCACTTGGTACGTTCGTTTTCTCCATTCATGTCAAATTGCAGGCTTGAGAGTTTTGCAGAATCTTTTTAATTGAATTTCGTAGCTTGCCCCCAAACACATCACTTCGCTTGCCAGAATTAATGGCAACATTGTGTGTGTGTATGTATGTGTGCGTGTGCGTGTATGTGTGCGTGTGCGTGTGCGTGTGTGCGTGTGTGTGTGTGTGCGTGTGCGTGTGCGTGTGTGTGTGCGTGTGTGTGTGTGCGTGTGCGTGTGTGTGCGCGTGTGTGTGTGCGTGTGTGTGTGTGTGTGTGTGTGTGTGTGTGTGTGTGTGTGTGTGTGTGTGTGTGTGTGTGTGTGTGTGTGTGTGTGTGTGTGTGTGTGTGTGTGTGTGTGTGTGTGTGTGTGTGTGTGTGTGTGTGTGACGTTGATTTTCGCAAAGCGGAAGTTATTGAACTGATGTGCCACTGCAGCGTCTGCTTGTCTGTTATGGGTTGTGTGCGTTTGGCTGGCGCTTCCTTGGTTGAGCACGCAATTTCCTTTTTCTTGTTGGTGGGTGTGTGATGGGTGGCAATTGGTGTTGTGTTGTGGGCCACACACAGTTCGCCATATATCCACAATAACAGCGTAAGCGCTTTAGCCGATCACCGCAAGCACAAACTTGTATGGCCTGAACAAGTAGTGCAATCTGGCGGCGTTATGCACAACCAGGCAGGTTCTGGCAAAGTATTACGTCATACGTAGAAGCGCACTCGGTTGGGTTTTGGTTTCGGTATTCTGGTTTTTTGACAACTAAAACTAACTTTCGACTGTCTATAGCATTTCAGCTATCGGGCGCGTGACAAAAATGTCTCAGGAACATAAAAACATCATTACCCTGACATCGTAAAAGGAACGCCAGAGTTGTCCTTTAAGCGCCATCCGCTGAAGTTTAGTTATGTAACAAAGTCCAGGGCTACTATACTCACGAGCACCATCGCTCCATATCAGCCTACCACTTCTGGTGTTGCTAGTATTCATGTTGCTGTTGGCATCGTTAAGCAACTGTAAACAACTGGTTATATAACATATGCGGCTGTTTAACGTGTGTCTGTACTTGCATCGGTATATTTCTGTAGTGCCACTTCATAACGATTCGCTCAATAAAAAAATTACAACGCAGTGAACTTCCATCCGCATACTTCGCATGACATCGATTCCCAAGGTATGTGGTATCTGCCCTTTTTTTTTTTTTTTGCAAGATTTCTTCTGCGTGTTGCGAAAACCAGAAGTGCATGACTCGGACTGTTTCGAATAGAAATATGAGTGTCACTTGTTACTCGAGCCGCCATAGCAGAAATGAAAAACAGAAAGGCAACTCTGTCAGCAAATAGGCCAAGCTGATAGTGGATGTCGACTTCCGATTTCGAGGTCCTGCTTCATCACTCTGTCTTCCTCGCAGAAATCATAGAGAAGTTGAAGCACCCGCCGCCTCTCATCAGGCCGTCCGTGTCGAAGCAAACAGCCCCACCCGAAGCCCTGCACATAATGCGTCAATGCTGGGCGGAGTCTCCCGACATGCGGCCCGACTTCGACGTCATCACGGACCGCTTCAAGTCGTTGTATCACGGGAGGTGCGTAAACTGAGAACGGCGTTTCCCGCAACGCCACAGAGCGCTGCTTCGAACAAAGTGCAAAGTGCAGCTATCGAGTGCGCAACTGCACTTAGTTTTGTTTTTAAACTATCTAAAGGGGACTCCAGTGCTGCGATCGTTCAGCTGACCATGGTAATGGTGGGTAGTACACAGATTGGTCTAGTCTGCGTACTTGCGGGCCTCGAATCAGCGCTTGTGGCTTCGTTTATTTCTGTGTTTCGGTTTTGTGTCAGGTTTTGTTTCGAAGCAAAGAATGAACCCTTTTGAACTTCGCGACCCGATTTGAAATGGTAAGCCTAACAGATTAACATAGTGAAGCGACACTACTGAACATTTGCTGAATTTTTTTTTTTTTGTTTCGCTGACAAAGAAGCTCCAAGCCACCTGAAGCCAACTGAAGCCGGTAGCACGAACATTAGACATATCAGTGTGCTACCCATAATTCTAATGCTCGCTGAAGCGCCGTGCATTGTAGCTCTCATACACACTAGCGCCGAAGTTACCTCTCGTGCTATTTACAGGAAACTCTATGCCTAATGAGGCCCTGCAACTCTTCTTCAAGTAATCATCAAATGGCTTCAGTAAAAGAGTTATTTGCCTCGCGAATAGATTGCCGCACATTTTTATTTTATTATTATTTTTTCAGAGCAGATCAAGTGGAAGCTGGCTCCCAAAAAGGGATTTGTCGCGCGAACTCCTTAAGCACTGCGAGCGAGCTGAAAGCTACGCAGGGGGGGGGGGGGGGGGGGGAGGAATCACAAAAAGGTCAGAAGTTGTGTCCGTTCGTCATAGCGCGTCGTAGGTTAACAGGCGGTGAAACATTTTGCATCTATATTTAATACGTGCATCGAAGTGGTTTTTTTTTTTTACATTCGGGAGAATAGAATGGATATCTTAAACCGAACAGGTCTGCCAAGTTAATGACTAGCTAAGCCTCAAATTTTCTGAGAGACAGGAACAAAACATAAATTTTCGCGATACTGTTTTAGCGATGAAGTATTAGTGTTACAGTAGAAGTGAAGTACATGTACTCCAATTTCAATTGAAAATTTTCTCTCAAATTTGGTAGACTTATTTCATAACAAAAATAATCAGTCATGTGATTTTTTAATCCACCGCAATAATTGGCTACTAAAGGTCACATTATCAATATTCTTACATTTAAAAAGTGCGGCAGTAAATGACAAGAGTTCGCCGAAAATAACTAATGAGTACCAAAGCTTTGCGGAAAGAATGACATCTTGTGAAATGCTTTGTGAAAAGAATGGCAACAGATTCATATCTTTTTGACCACTGGGATTTCAACATGCATAACACGGCTGTATCAAGATAGTCCGCTCTTCTAATAAACCCTTTGCGCAGGGCTGAAGCTGTGAAAATATACTATCATATGTTGCACGCCGCAATGTGATCGAACTTTCTAATCACTCATCACTTATAAAACATATCAATGCTGCCTGTTTTGTTGCTTTGTTCTCGAGTACAATATTCTTGTGTCGATAAAATTGTCCTACAATATTAGGGTACTCAATACACTGAAAACATTCTCACTTTAACGATGCTGATAATTACATTCGCAGGAAAGCAAACATCGTGGAAACGATGTTTCAAATGCTAGAAAAGTACTCGAACAACCTCGAGGACCTTATCAGAGAGCGGACAGTGCAGCTGGATGAAGAGAAGAAAAAGACCGAGCACCTTCTCAACAGAATGCTCCCGAGGTAATCAGCGATTCATATTCCCATTACGCACGTTTTGCGGGTTTTGTAAAGCACCATTCATTTCTAATGACTGCTGGACATTCATGGGACGTGCCACGTGAAAGCGGTGTACAATGAGTGTGTACTCGGGTGCACTTACTTTAACGTCATTTAGACTGTACTTTCTTCGTACAGGAGTTTCACTAGAATATAGGAAGTTGAAAGGAAAAAAGCGTAGAAACACTCCGGGTTTCTGTGACGATAATCTTTTTTTTTTGTAAGTCTCAACACCATGTTCTTACTCCGCGAACCTCTTGCGAAAGTGCTTTCGAGAACAAAGCGATAATTACATGCTTCGTGCATCCACGGTTTTCTTCGTTCAAGGGAAGTTATGTCTGCGTTTGAGATGAAGAGGGCTTTCTCGCAAGAGAAAAAAGTTTAATATTCAGCGCCTGTTTAGCTATGTCTATTTTCTCAAACTTCAAAGAGGGGGATTACTTGCTGAGGCGTAGAAGTGCGGATGAACGCTTGAGAGCGAGAGTGTGAAACCGAATGAACAGTGAGGGCACTTTTAGCCCAGGAGACATTTCAGCGTGCCCCGCCACGGTGGTCTAGTGGCTAAGGTACTCGGCTGCTGACCCGCAGGTCGCGGGATCGAATCCCGGCTACGGCGGCTGCATTTCCGAAGGAGGCGGAAATGTTGTAGGCCCGTGTGCTCAGATTTGGGTGCACGTTAAAGAACCACAGGTGTTCGAAATTTTCGGAGCCCTTCACTACGGCGTCTCTCATAATCATATGGTGGTTTTGGGACGTTAAACCACACATATCAATCAATCAACATTTCAGCGTGAAATGTATGTTCATACATGCTTATACTTGTACATGCGAATCTATTCGACGTTGATAAGGTAGGGATAAGACAACGAGGTGTCGTTTGCGGGTGAAAAGAAAAAAAAAAGCACCATAAGACACGCTAAGCGTGGTGTTTGTCTCAGGGTGTTTGTCTCAGCCTGTTTGTCTCAGGGCGTAATGTGTGATCCATTTCTCCCTCGATGTATCAGCAACGTTGAAGCGTCCCACATTTGCGCCGAGTAAGGTGCTTCACGGCGAAAGCTTGCGCAGGTTGGACGCAAGTGGTTTCTAAACAAAAATGTTATGAAATGGTACAACTCGCAAAGATCTTTGTTAACCTCACGTGAAATGGGACAATTATCCTATCTAAAAGGACTCCATGCTGTATAAATAACAATGACTCTTTGTTATTTTAAATGTTTCTTAAACGAGGTGGACACCACCTTCGTCAAGTTTAGCAATGCGGTAGCTTTTATTCGGCTGTTTCCTGTTTGCTACGTAGAAAAATGTTAAAGCTGAATTGATCTCACTTGAGCTCAAGTACTGACGTGCCGACTGCGGTGACATCTCATACATTCGTATATCAATGGTCTAGCCTCGACATATTTGAAAAGGGTGAAGATAAAAAAAAAATACCGAGGCACTGTGCCGATCAGTGACAACCTAAAACGCTGCCGCAAAAGAACGTTATGACTCCCACGCTGGAGCCTTCTTCACAAGTGCAATGAAAACAAGTGTCCAAGCAGATGGCATGTACGCTTGAATATCTCACGCAGGCAGCGTGCATACCCTGCCTCGGGGTTTCTGTTACTTTCACCATGTATCATCTCGACGAGACAAACTTCTGTCAAACTTTGAACTTCATATTTGAAAAAATTTTAAAATTGGCTCTGTAGTAATACTCAAACTCAACTACTTTATTAAAGATCTAATGTGACTTTTTTACTCTCCTTCATTGCAGCTCTGTGGCAGAGACCCTCAAGGCCGGCCTGCCCGTAGTGCCAGAGAAGTTCGAGGAAGTGACCGTTTACTTCAGCGATATCGTCGGCTTCACGACCATATCAGCGTACAGCGAACCTATGGAGATTGTAGACTTTCTCAACGACCTCTACACGGCTTTCGATTCGACTATCAATCACTACAACGTCTATAAGGTATGCTAAAGCTGGAACCTGCCTATGTGTTCACAAAGCTCAATATATTGTGGATGAACAAAGCTTGCGTACACAATCACGCACAGAACAAGTCGAAATGCTCATCTCTTGAATAGGCCTGACTATCTTTTCTTGCCGCACTTTTAAGCGTACAAAAGGACACGGACGAAAAACGACACCGACACATTTCTTGTTCTGATGTTCCTAATGTTCCTCCTCTAAACGATGTATAATTGTGTAGATTGTCTGGCTTTCGATAATATAACCCCCTCGGTTTGATGTCTAGGTTACCAGAGAGCTGATCTAGAGGGCGAGTATTTATTCTAAAGGACAGGGTGTTTAAACACGGACACAAGAAATAAGTCAGCTAACCGCAAGATGTGGTTCAGGTGGCTACTACGTAATACTGAGTGGACTAGGTTGAAAGAGCGTATCGTGACTGCGTGTTTGTTCTCCCCAAGCGAGAACTCTTGGACTGCATGGTGTAGTGCTGTATGAATGCATATATGTCATATTTGCTTCTCAATTTTTTTTAATTCACAACAATGCAGTGGAAAAGGGGTGTCCGTGGCCAAGTAAATGGGGCAACAACTCCTTTATTTCTCTTTAATTGTGAAAACTATTACGAGAAAATCAATGCAGCTTTTAAAATAGACAACCAATTCTTTTTTCGAAAAGCACGTAGTCCCTGTTTTCTGCGTGGACAGTGTTCACACGCAAGCTCCCCCGTCCTCCTGTTTACCTTCCTTTGCAGGTGGAGACCATCGGAGACGCGTACATGGTGGTGGGTGGGCTACCTGAGCGCAACCGAGACCACGCCGAGCAGGTGGCTACCATGGCTCTCGACCTCCTGCACCTGTGCGGCCGCTTTCGCATCCGGCACATGCCAAACGTGCCTCTCATGCTTCGCATCGGACTGCACACAGGTGGGCGACACATTGCACTGTTTCGTGCGCTTTCGACGTGACCTGTTTCTGCGACTTCGCTATCCGTTATACTAGGCGTGCTTTCGCGTCGCTTCTGGCTGCACATTAATAGCACTGAATTCGGCAATGATCGCGAAATTATTTTAGCCTTCTTTTTTTACCTACTCATCCCAATCTTCTTTTACCTATTTATCCCAATGGCCTTTGTAAAGTAAATGTCATCGTATTGTAAGGATTAGAACAGGAAATATCTTTGTGTGTGTGTGTGTCTGTGGGTTTGCATGTGCGTGCGTGCTCTCCACGAACGTGAGTCGGCTCCTTCGTATATCCCCCGGAAAGCATTAAACCAACCTAGATTGAACACCATTTTAGAAAACAGGCGTTGCTAAACCATGGTCATCCTCGCACAAAGCAACCGGAAAATTATTACGGTGCTTGAAGCCCAGAAGCCTCGGACACTGTTTGTAGACCTTCTGCGAATTAACATGTGTGCGCTCAACCAGCTTTTAGGGGTGAAGCTCTTTATAGTGGCACCCGTTCGTCCCTCGTAGTCGTAGTAGTAGTAGTAGTCATAGTGCGTAACAAGTCTTACATTTTGACCTCCAAGGTGGTGCCGGTGAGAGATTTCTTCTGTGCGTTGTGGAACAATACGCAGCGTGCGCGTTAACTAAAAGCCGAATTCTCCTGTCTCTCATTCCCCCTTAGCAGCCATTGACATGTACATTGAGCACTATCTGACAAGAAAGGGTTGCTACGTTATACTCGCTGGGCGTAACCTCCTTGCTTTTAGAAAGGTTTAGCGAGCGTTGGGCCGCAGTGCCATGAAGGGAGGGGGAGGAGGAAGCAACAAAAGGGAGAAGGCAGGGAGGTTAACCAGAAAGACATCCATGAACACAGTGAACTAGTATATACCATGAACTCGATGTGGTTAAAGTGGGAAGTAGACACGAAGCGCAAGCCGTAAGAAAGTGTGCGTGTGCCACTTCTCGTTTAGTCCTTGGAATGTCCGCTGGATGGCGGTGCATATGAGAAATATATGATGAAAAGATGCGAGATGGTGGTACTTGGAGTGTTGAACGGATGGACGAACGGACACACAGACAGATGCATGGATGGACTCATGGATGTCTGCACCGACGGATGGACGGACGCAGGGACGGACGCACGAACAGACGCACGCACGGACGGGCAGATGAACGCATGGACGGTCACACAGACGGACGCATGGACGGACGGAAGCAAGAACTAATGGACGGATGGATGCTTCGCCCCACTCTCCATCATTTACACCGTGGATATGCTGCCGTTTTTATTTCTCTCCCTCTCTTTTTACTGCTATTTTTCTTTCTTTGTGAACGTACTGTCAGATATCTGACTGCCAGCTAGGATACCAGCAGGTTCTCATCACTGGGTTGTCCTAACTCCTCGTCACACTTGCGCGTTGCAGTGAGTTAGCGCGTGGCATGGAGATGCGGCACCGGACCCTGTCCCTAGAGTTGGCGTGGCTACAAGAAACTGCGTGCCTTCTCCCTCTCATTCTATGAGGAGAGGGCGCGTAGCCACGCCTACAAGCTACGCGCGAACGGTCTGCAACGTGTTGACCTTTCAATACTTTATCTCGGTAAAAATATGAGCGCCAGAATTACTCCTTTTTTATTTTTGCAAACTGAGTACATGGCTCCACGACCAAAAAAGAAAGGGGGGGGGGGGTAGCTATGTATTTTTGTTTTGGTTGAGGCCTAAAATATTACATATATGACTCTTTCTGAGCAAACAGGTTAACTCTCTGTAGGGTCGCAACACTCTTTGACGAGAGTATATGAGAGAGTTCACGTATTTCGTTAAAGAGCGTTATACGTAGTGAGTCAGGACAAACAAAATACGAGTCAATTAGAGAACTCCCTGCTTTCATTGAGTGTATTCTAAGCTGAAGGAAAGTATCAAAAAGCAGAGACTATCTTTACGCGTGCTCCAGTGAGTCCCGCGCCGGGTAGAAACTGTTCTGATCCGCTTTTTCGTATTACGCACCGATAATCGAGAGCTTACCGCGCGCCCACCGACGTCAGTTACAGAAGTATCTCTCCGCACCACAAATCCTGATTGCGCCACTTCCGAAGCCGCGATTCCATGACGTTTGCGTAAGCCGACGTAAGAACTGGGACGCCATGCGACGTACGATGCTAAGCACAGACTGCCGTGGCACGGCTGCAATGCGTATAGCCAACGTCACGTGTCCTCCCACGCAGGACGTGAACCCCGCCGCTTGTCACACTCGAACGTAATTTGGTCGGCGTTAAGCCTTCGCCGCATCGCCGCCGTTCTAAGCGGTTCGGACAACGCAGAGGCTTAGGTTCTCCGACGGGAATTTTTGCGTAAATTGTGGGGGCGAAGTTTCGCAAAGGGACAATTAGTTGTCCTTCATGGCAGAACGAAGCGTACGCGTATAGGCGTGGCGGCACTTCCCAGATGAGAACGTTAAGCGGCAACTCTTCCAGCTAAGTATAACGATGTTCTACAAGACAAGTATTCTTGTATGTGTCCGTGGAGCTACGACGAATGCATACGAAAACTATAGTGCTGATATTAAACCTCGTAAGATTTATTTTTCTGTGTTTGTTTCTTTGTCTGCCTATTTATTTACTTACTTATATTTAGCTTCTTTGTTTGTTTGTTTGTTTGTTTGTTTGTTTGTTTGTTTGTTTGTTTGTTTGTTTGTTTGTTTTGTTTTTTGTTTGTTTGTTTGTTTACGCTTCATGTCAGATAATAAGAAAGCTGGCTAAGTAACCGCAGCGTCCGGTAGTTCAGAGGCGTCTTTGCTGAACAAACTAATGAATGAATGAATGAATGAATGAATGAATGAATGAATGAATGAATGAATGAATGAATGAATGAATTAATTAATGAATGAATGAATGAATTAATGAATGGCAACACTATCTTTTAAACCTTTATTACCTTTTCTACTACCTCCTATAGTTAATGAAGAGTCAGTTAGAGAACTCACTAGAAAGACGTCTAGAAAGGTAGGCACTGTTAGCACCTACCTTTCTGGACGTCTTTCTCATCTTTTTCCTTTTTATTCTTTTCATATGTGCCACGCTAATACAAGCTAAGTTCATGGTAAACAAAGTTTTTCATTTCCTTATACAAGGTTATCCATAGTTTCTTCGTAGTCTCTTAAGGGAATATGTAAATATTTTCTAAAGGGTGCATTCATTTTTTTTTACTTTTAACCGTCAGCTGCGAAGCGACTTGCGAGTCTCTTGTGGTGCTTAAATACGCCAATCGCAATGGCAATGCAAAGACAAACTTTCTCGTGATGCTGACATTTTTTCAAAGACGATATTCTTTCTTGGGGACTTTCGACGCAAAAATTTTGGTCTGTCTGTCTGTCTGTCTGTCTGTCTGTCTGTCTGTCTGTCTGTCTGTCTGTCTGTCTGTCTGTCTGTCTGTCTGTCTGTCTGTCTGTCTGTCGGTCTGTCTGTCCACTCTTACCGGCATCGGGTACTTGAAACGGCCGACCCCATCCGCAGCTACCACCATTGTTCCTCAAGGTTGAGCGTTCATGCTTGTGCAATTGTCGATTAAGAAGCAATTATTGTGCATGTCTGGGGCGCCATAACAACACGCATATATTCTGCATATGCATCTCTTATTAGAAAACGCATACATAAGTAATTTTGAGGACCGTAGCACCTATCATGCTACGCTTACCATGCAACGCTTGCACGGAACGGGAAGTGTTTCCAACGCTTTGCTAAGACGAGATGGTGGTGGCACCTACCCGTCGCCTCGCGTTCTACACCTTATCACTTGTGAGACGGGTGCGCATGGCCACGCGCTTTGTTTTTCAAAAGAATTTGCCAGATGGCGCTCATGGCTCACGTGTGACATGACTCGAGGCACTCTAACGCAACGACTCCGGAATACCATTCACAAATTTTCTTGCACGAAACATCAAATAAATGTTTTGTTAACTCTCTCCAGCACGCAAGACTATCGTCTTTCGACATTTGCAGATTACATGCAGATACGGGGCCATTTTTCTTTTTTTGCTGCTCCTCTCTCATGCAGGGGCTGTCGTGGCTGGAGTGGTGGGTCTTACCATGCCACGATACTGCCTCTTTGGTGACACTGTGAACACGGCGTCCAGAATGGAGTCTACGGGAAGAGGTACGTCAGTCGGCGGGTGTATATGTAATCCACTCATAATTAGTTTAGGCTGCATTGCTGCGCTGACACCTGCTACATCTGTTTGAATTGAGGTTTTCGGCGAAATTTATACAAAAGAGAGTATAATAATAATAATAATAATAATAATAATAATAATAATAATAATAATAATAATAATAATAATAATAATAATAATAATAATAATAATAATAATATCTGGAGTTTAACGTCCAAAAACCACATATGATTGTGAGAGACGCCCTAGTGGACAGCAGAGGAAATGTTGACCATCTGGTGTTATTTACCGTGCACTGACAACGCACAGTACACGGGTCTGAAAACGTTTCGACTCCATCGAAGTGCATCGAACCCGCGACCTTCTGATGAGCAGCCGAGCAGCCTAGCTACGGCTCCACCACGATGGACAGAAACAGAAGAGTGTATTGTGTCTGTACGAAAAATGTAGTGCAAAAGAATATTCCGTCGCAAACGAGCCCTACAAGCCACCGGCCATAAACCCCGCGCACCGTCAATGACCGCCATTTTCTCCATGGCGTCTGTGACGTCATGTGTTTCGTGCAGTGGAATGTCTCTCACCCGAGTTTCAGCCGCTGCAAACCGTTTGATTCTCAACGCCTAACTAAAGAAAGCTGTAGTAGCTGCATCGCACTTCAGCCGACCACTAAACAATATCGTTGGCCGAAATACGTGATGCTTGCACAACAAGCGTGACAGCTTGATAATGCGGCACTGTTCTTAGGCTCTTGAGCCGCTCGCGTATTTCATCTGTTTTGCATTGGAGAACACGAAAGAATATTTTTCGTAAGCTGACAACTACTCTAGGGAGTTTCACGCCTGAATAGCGCCAGCTGTGACGTCCACGAGATGAAATCAGGAAATTAAACTTAATTTTTTCTACCACTCTCGCCTTCACGTTCGAAAGAAAGCATACAATAAGTTGCCTCACTGAACTTTCTTTGTATTCTCAACATGTTATCAATCGCTTGCTGAGAGTTTTTTTTTTTTATCGAGATTATTGGCGGACCTCTACAAGAGAATATCAACCTCATTTGTGTCACGTGTAACCTCGGTACGAACGCCGAATTAAATAGAGACAACATTGGCACTAATCACGTCGAGTACGATTACGTACACATCCAGAAAAGACCAACATATGAGTCCATGTAGCTTGTCGTGATCGTTATGATACTAGAGCGTTAAATGTTTTAAAGCCTTTTTTTTATCAGCTTCTCGGTTCGGTATCTTTGTGACGTCCCGCCTAATACTAGTAGCTTGTCTGTACGCCTACATAAACGTGATAACTCACCATTCTTTTTGCCTCTCACAGCGTACCGCATCCACATCAGTAAGACAACAGAGAAAAAGCTACGACAAGCCGGAGGCTACATTGTCAAGTACAGAGGAGAGATTGTGCTCAAGGTTAGTGGCACTTGGGTATTCATTCATGACGCCTGTAAGAGTTGTTCAATGACTATGTCTTCAAACCTGAAGTCTATTTAATCTGTATATCATTTTTTTCTGTATCTCAGTATGAATATGCCTACAAACGTTTGAGTGGGAAGAGAGGGGGAGGAGGGTTAGGAGGTAGCTGACTGACGCGTCAGCAACAACGTCAATCTGAATCTGGTGATCTTACTTTACCAACGTGTTCCATGAAAGTTGGTAAAGCTTCGATCGATCGATCTTTACTTCATCGGCTATGAGAATAAATAAATGAATTGGTTTGCTGCCCTGCGGTGCAAACTCTGTTGTTTCTCCAATGTGCAGGGCCGTGGTCGACAGCCCACGTATTGGCTGATAGGAAAACAAGGCTTCAACAAGGCTCTGCCCGAGCCGCCTCAGGATGACGAGTAAGCGCAATTCTCTGTCGTGCTCCCTTTATTTTTATTTTTGTTGTCGCTGTGCATAAGTGACTGTTTATATTCATATATAATGCAATATTCTATCTACATAATACAATATGATGTCCATATAATCCATATAACGGATATAGTCCATACAATGTCAATATAATTCAATGTAGTTAATATAATGCAATAGTCCTGCAATAGTCCATCATGGCTGCAATACGTATGAAGAAATAAATAAAATAAATCACTAGTGTAACCGTACTCATATACTAGCCTTTGGGAAAACTCTCCTGATTTTCCTGACCATGGCTACCGACCTACTTTCTGACTGAATAATTCTCCTAAGTAGTATTCTCGCAGATCCAACACGGTCACACCTAACTTACGTTGTACCACGTGCGGTATGCGAATTGACTACTGGTTTCCATTTCTGGTATAATAAATTTACTGCCAATTCCCACGTCCGGTATAATAAGATCACTTCTTGCCTTTAACTTCTCCTATAAGTACACTAGCGGGAATCCTGGCGATAATGTCTATGGGAGCTGCTATGCACGGTGCTTCAGCGAGCACGGAACTACACAAATTTGTCTAATTCATCGTACTTTCGTCTTCGTTATGGCTTCGCGTGGCTTGAAGCTGCTTTCTGACGAAACGGCATCAGCAAACGTTTAGTAGTTTCACTACGCCACCTTAACCTTTTAGGCTCACCAATTCAAATTTGCTCACGAAGTTCCCAACAATCCATTGTTTTATTCGAAACGAAACCAAAACGCAGCAATAAGTAAATCTACAAGTGAGCTCGAAGCCCGCAAGTACGGAGATGAAGCAAACTTCTGAAGTACCCATCATTACCATGGTCGCTGAGCCTAGTGGCTAAGGTACTCGGCTGCTGACCCGCAGGTCGCGGGATCAAATCCCGGCTGTGGCGGCTGCATTTCCGATGGAGGCGGAAATGTTGTAGGCCTGTGTACTCAGATTTGGGTGCACGTTAAAGAGCCCCAGGTGGTCAAAATTTCCGGAGCCCTCCACTACGGCATCTCTCATAATTATATGGTGGTTTTGGGACGTTAAACCCCACAAATCAATCAATCAATCAATCAATCAATGGTCGCTGAGCGATCGCAGCGCCACAGTATACTCTAGTTGATTTTAGGAAACTCTATGGCCTGGTCAGTACTTGACTATGTTCCAATCTACACTCGACTTCCGGGTATACTTACCCCCGTAACCTCCCTTCACTCAACGCTTTGCCTTCCCGTGAAAAAGCCGATGGGAGCGCCATCTCTAAGTACGGCAAGTCACTGCATATCAGTGATAGTCTGCTGCGATTCTTGAGTAGCGCAGTGTGATTTTCAGCCGAGTGGTGGCGCAGTGCTCAACTTTGTCAATTGAAGGGTGAAAGTCGAGTCGAGGATCGTTTGTGAATACGGGGCTAAGTCAGGCCTACAAAACAAGTTTGGTTCGAAAAGACCGTTGACATCCTACCCTATTGCAGAACTGGGCGGAAGTGCACGATCGTCGTGCACGTCTGAGCGTTCTGTAAACAGCGGAGACGTAATCGTGCATGGTTTTATGTAAATAACAACGAGGGCGTTGAATCTGTTAATTGTTTATGTGTCATTGTTATACGTACACGTACTATTTCTTCAATAACGGGAACGCTGTAGTGGAATCGGAGCAGCTGGCGTCACCCAATTGGGAACGCGATCGTGCGAACGGCTCAAATATAGTCAGCACTATTTTCATCACCACCTGGAGCACCAGAGCACGCTTCGCGAAGCCTGTGCTCCGGTTTCGGAGCGTACTGTTTAAGATGCACGCACACGCTCTTCGAATGCTGGAAGTTAGCTATAGCGCCAACAACAATATACTCGATCACAATGGGATTTCCACGTCGCACGTAATGGCGAACGAACGCAAGGGAAACGTCACACCTCTTTAATTTGGATCTTTCTCTCTTGCGTAGTCTCTCTTCTTTTTTTTTGCACGCTCTTTGTGGGCCTATATGTTAGTCCTCCAGATTTGGAAGTGGGCATACTGTAAAGCAAATAACTACGCTTATCGGGTGGAGCTGTTTCCAATGTCGGCTCTCTCAATTTTTTTTCCAATTACGTTAACACGTACGCATTCGTCTTCTCAGCAACTTGTCGGGACTTTCAGAAATTGCTATAGCTGAATTCCTGTGCTCTTTTTTCTTTTTTTTTATTCAGTATTTTACCAGCATGCCGACATAGCTCGCTGCAGCTCAAAACGAGCGCAATTTTTTCTCGCGTGTTGCGATGCGGAATCGAAGCGCGAACGGAGGGAAAATAAAAGTAGTTTTGCGAAATTTCACGCTATAATTATCGAAAAAGCTTATGCAGGCTTAATCAACGGATTTGTCCGTAAACATGCGGGAATCCACGTAAAGACTTCATCCCCGGAAGCGATTTTCGGAACGCTGCTTTGCGCGAACATGCCAATAATCACGAGCTATAGTATACAGACACGTTCTCGAGAAGCTCAAACAGGAGTTTGGGCCCATCCAACGCTCAAACTACATACAGCCGGGACGGCACCGGGATGGGGAGGGGTGGGAGACTGGGATGAGGCCGCACCTGCCTTTAATTTGACATCTGCCCCACTTCTTCGCCCCTACCCCTAAGAGCAAGTCAAAACACGATGCATAAGTTCCTGCCACCATGCTTCCCCGAAAGAGCTCGCTTTTCATGAGTGGCCCGCATACAGTGAAAATTTTCTGGCTACGTCTTTGCCATGCAGGTTGCAATGATTCGATTTGTCATATGCCAATGACCACTTTCTTGTTTGCTGCTAAGCCCGATCAGACGGACGAATTCACTGGATCCTCCGACATTTTTTTTTTAATTTTTTGTCTTGTCCTTTTGTCTCCTGCAGAATTGAAATGAAGATAGTAACGTGTCTTTTTTTGCTTCTATGCTGCCAGCTGGAACAATCACGGGTGAGTCCACAGTTTGTATTGCCTTCCTGTTCGTGGCGAAGTTCGCGTCTCATTGTTACCCGCGTCTCATTGTTGCCCGTGTCACACCACTTCCAGCTTCTGTTTTAATGGGCCAGTCAACAGGCCCCGTAAGGCGCAGGAAAAGCTCGCGCATTTTTCCTGTGCGGGACCAACTTTTTTCCACGCGCCGTGACGTCAACACGGCGATCGCCGACGTGACGCAGCTCGTCGATTGGTCTAAACCAGGTCCACACAAACAGCAATTAAGTCAACATGGCTAGATCACCAAGTACACGTCGCTGCGAGTGGAAGGATGTTGGTCAGGTGTACGAAAGATGTTCGAGCTTGTTTGGAGGGTGTAAAAAAGTCGGAGCCTCTTGTCTGGCCCCTTAAATGTAGTGACCATACTATCGCATATTCAACGAGTCAATGCAAAAATATCGAGCTTCAATTTTCTGACGGTAGTCGTGTTATCGGTGTCTACAATCACCGTCGGCTAAGCTTTAGTAATCGCTTTTACCAATATTAAAATATAATACTTTCTAATTAGATGTAGTTTTTTTTTTCTAAAGCTTATCTCCTCTCGTTCTGTCACATATTCATTCATAGAGACATACCACTTCACGCACGACTGTTTAGGGCAACCTTTACGAGAATCACGTTTCTGTTTCGAACATAAAAAGCGAAGCTCTATGCACGAGCTATGACATCATCATAAATACCAGCGCCATATGCGTAGATAATAAAACTCACAAATATTAGTTAACCTATACTTAGTTGTTTTAATAGGGCTTTTGAGCTTTCTTAAAAATGAGCTCATGCATGTTGGATGTTAGTTCCACTCATTCCCCTCAAGAAATAAATTGTTCCTTTGCGAAGCCTCATCCTATGACAGAAAAAATTACAGTTGCCTACATCGCTGTTCTATGTAGATAACAACGCTATTTTACTTATTCACAGTCTAAAAATATTTTCATGTGTTTTTGTGCTTGAAAATTCACTAGTAATAATTATTATGATGATGTGCATAATTCACATCGTTAGACTGGCGTCCGTCCACAGTGCTTTTTACTAACAGTACTTTGTAATCACTTTCGTTGCTTCATTGCACGCAAGTGGGGTTCAGGTACCTTGTGTTTTCTTCTTCGATTAATATTTTGCTAGATATGGTAACTTGGTATATTCACTTTATTACTTTTTTATTATTTGCATTGCTTTCATTGTTCTTGCTGGCATATTTATATATTTAGTTATTTTTTTTATTTTTTTACAAGACTGCAAACCCAGTAAAGAAGTATTTCGCGCCTTGTAGAGAATCAAGGGCGTCGTCAATGCGAGGCATTGGGTACAGATCCTTGTGAGTGATCTTGTTGAGTGCCCTATAATCGACGCAAAAGCGCACGGAGCCATCCTTCTTGTGAACCAGAACCAGACCAAGGGCTAGATGAAGGGCGAATTACCTCTTGTTTGAGCATGTCAGCTACGTTTTTTTTTTTTGGATGGTTTTTCTCTCAGCAGGAGACACGCGGTAGGGCCGGCGGCGTACAACAGATGTTCCGACTGTGTGGATTCGATGCGTTATAGTAGTAGTGTGGCCCAACGTCTAGGAGTAAACATCGAAGGAACTTGCGTGTTTCTTTAACAAAGCAAGTAGCTGTTGCGTCTGTGAAGGTGTCAGGTCGTCGCTAATGGCTGCAGTAAAGGCGGAAGAAGATGCAGGCTCGCCCCTAGAAGGGCTGTCATTGGAGGAGACGGCGTGAATTGGCACGACGCACGCAGGCTCGGGATCCGTCACGCAGGCCACCGTGGTGTTCTGGGGAAGTAAAATTTTTTCGGATGTCGTATTCACAGCGGTGATAAGTGCGAAACCATTGAGACTCGAACTACACTGGAAGCGAGAATGATGCCTTTACCGACGCATCTAAATGACGGTGAGACCAAGACGTCGCCATGGTCGATGTCCTTGGAGGTAAAAGTTACAATTCGCTCTTGACCTGGTGGTAATTCGGTATCTTTCACAACTGTCAAACGAAGTGGCCTCTGGGGGTCGTCGCTGAGCGTACAGTCCGTGTCGGTGAGGTGGACGACGCGTTGGCCACAGCAAATTGCCGCGGAAGCAGAAGAAAAAAAATCCCATCCTAAAATTAGTCGGTGAGAGCAGCGGGACAGGACAGCAAACTGGATATGATGGCGGATGCCGTCGAGGAAAACACGCACATGCAGTACAAAACGCGGAAGGACGAATGACGTTCCCCTGGCAGCGACTAACGTGGGACCATCGTAAGGCGTCGTTACTTTCTTTAAATGTTCACACAAATCAGCACGTATAACAGACAATGTCGCACCTGTGTTCACGAAAGAATCGACTCGCACTCCTTCTACTTCCACAGAAACCATGTTACACGGGCCGGATGGAGGAATTTCAGTTTTTATTTTGAACGCAGTTTTTCCTCCACAAACTGCATCATTTAGTTTCCCGAATGAATATCAGAGGAAAATGAGGCGGGCCGAAGTGGAGAAGTGGAACGGCGGAAGGGCGAAGGCGAGCGGCGTCTCGTGTTTCGGCTGTTCCATGGTGCAGTCGATGCCGCAGGAGATGGAGACCGGTGCGGGGGTGACGAATAACGCCGGCCTTGATAAGAGGCCCCACTGTACAAATCCCGTTCACGCATGTCATTCCGACGCTCATCTTGCTGGCGCTTTCGGCAGAAACGAGATATGTGGCCGCGATAGCCACAGTAGTAGGAGACTGGGCGGGACGAGTGCCAGGGTGGGGAGTAGAAGGCGTTCGGGGCCCCTGGAGATAGCGCGGTCAGGTGGGCCAAAGAAAGGTCAGGGGGCATCGAACGGTAGTTCACCGGGGGAGCGGCAGCGCCTGACGCGTACGATGCTAGCGGCAACGTCGTGATTACCTCGCTGGAAGGCATAGCAGCGACCTGCGCGTAGGTTCGTATGGGCCGAGACGAGGGTGACTGGACGTGAGCCGGAGAGTTCAGAGATGTCACTTCCTCCTTGATAATTTCGCGTAATGTCGCTCCCGTAGACTGTGGAGAACACGGTGGAGAAGGTGGGAAACCCATGTTCTGCAACTCTTCACGTATTATGTCTCTTATGAGGTCACGGAGAGGTATGTTAGATTGTTCGCCCATGTCTGGTTGTAGACGAACAGAGTCCAGAGTATCGAAGCGCTGACATGTCGTGACGACGTCGGCTATGGTAGCCGGGTTCTGAGCAACCAGGGCATTCAAGGCAACAGGGCCTACATCCTTCATAATGTGGCGTACTTTGTCGGACTCCGGCATAGATTAATTGGCCCGCCGGCAGAGCGCAAGAACGTCCTCGATGTACGACGTGTCCGACTCATCGGAATGTTGCTGGCGAGTGTCGAGGGTTCTCTTCACGACTGCGGACCGAATGGCCGGTGTGCCAAAAACGTGACGTAGCTGCTGCTTGAAGGTAGCCGAGTCGGGTATGTATGTCAATTATGTGGTTAAAGCACCACGTCTTCGCCACACCAGTCAAGTAGAAAGATACGTAACGGAGCTTGGCGCTATCGTCCCAGCGATTAGCAACACTCACGCGGCTGTACTCATCGAGCCAGTCTTCCACGTCTTCCCCGCGACGTCCGGCGAAGAGAGGGGGATCACGCTGGTGGCTGTGTACATACACAGGAGGCGCGGCTGAAGACGGCGGGTGAGAGATGGCAGCAGTGATGGTAGCAGCGCCGGCAGGCTCGTTCTGTGACATGCTGCCAGACAGTGGGGGCAATCGGCGGCCTGAACGCAGCTCCAGGGAGTCGAGCGAAGTGGGAGAGGACCGAGGACCGAAAATCCACCTCCACCACGTATGACGTCTGGGTTGAGACGGCGTTTATTCAGCCCAAGGGCTCAGCAACGAACGGGCAGTCGGAGACCGAGCGTGCACACACCCGATGATGATTGTGGTGACCCCCAGTGAAGATGAGGACAGGGACCCAGACCGATGATGATGGTTATGATAATGCATATACAAGAAGCGCATATTGAATGCTCACAATATATATATATATATATATATATATATATATATATATATATATATATATATATATATATATATATATATATATATATATAAACTTAAGAAGAAAAAATGATCGAGAAAAAAAACACCAGGCCTGCGTGGTATAGGCGCAGCACAGTCACAGCGAAAGCGAGAAGAGCGGCCTTTCAGAGCCTTTTCAAAACACTTAGTGGGTAACTACTGCAAGTGGGTACCAAGCAAGCACATTTGCTTGGTACCCACTGGGGCATTAATAATAAACATTTGGGTAGTAGTCCGGCAATCGCTATGCTATTTTTCGTCATTCTTCTGAGAAGTGTGGTATCCGTAATCACTTGCAAGGAATTTTGTGCCAGTTGTCCATGCAGTGGCTGACGACGATGAGGAATTATGGCTGTAGTGGGTATGCGCCACAGTTCATAGAGAAACAAGAACAAGCTTTTGTAATGGGTTGGAGCATCGGAGGGCCCACTCGTTATGCTAATCGCATTGTGCGACGACTGGTAGTTCTTTCGCTGTTTTAAAACGCTTTATAAGTCGTATTAGTGCGATTGCTTTCCCGACATCAAGACTGCCTAAGGCAAGTTTGACAACAAGGACTGGCACCCAGTGGAGCCGGGTTCAAGCCCCAGTGTGGCATTGGTGCTAGGTCATGCCTGCCTGCAAAGTTTTTTTTTATTTAGTTTCGCGCGATGTGGTTACGGACACCGGCGGTGGCAGCGGCGGACAACATGCAACTGCGCGTGACCCAAAAAGTAATCTCATGACAGCTTTCGCTGTAATAAGACTCCGGCGCGAATCGAACTTTCGACCTCTTGCTTGTGACTGCGAGATGTTAGCCACAGAGCCACGAAGGAGCACCTCTTTCAACGTTGAAACGGCAAGGTATTTATATCTACCATTTACCGCTGGTAATGGCCATCTCAGGGGAACTATCGTGTTTTCAGCATTACCAGTGAGATGGCGCAATGAGCGTGCGTCGCCAGATCGTCACGACGCGGCGGCGCGTGCTCTCATCTCCCACGCATACTTTGCTCCGCAAAGAGGAGTGCGGGGTGGACGCTCGCGCGTACGTGTGCTTGTCTTGCGGTGGGGATAATCATACACCTTGGGCTTTCACTGAAATGATTCTTTTGTGGTTACCGGGCGCACAAATGCCACTGCAATCGTTGCACATTCTCCGTTTGCGACAAGGGCGCGCTGTAGCTATCGCGTTCATTCCTCGCCTTTGTGGCAAAGCTGTGACTTTATTATTATTATTATTATTATTATTATTATTATTATTATTATTATTATTATTATTATTATTATTATTATTATTATTATTATTATTATTATTATGTTGTTGTTGTTGTTGTTGTTGTTGTTGTTGTTGTTGTTGTTGTTGTTGTTGTTGTTGTTGTTGTTGTTGTTGTTGTTTGTGGTGGTGGTGGTAATTTGCTTCTGTGTATTACGTGTAAACAATCTCAGCACCACTCATGGACCTTGCAAATCTGTGCTGTGCATTCTCCTCCGGTAATTCCCTTTTCTATGTACTCAAGTGAACTCAATCTTGAACGAGAACGGAAGAAAATAATCAATGTAAAAAAAGAGGACCGTCGTGACTGAGAGCGTGAACGTTGGGCAAGAGGCCACACAAGGCCTCTTGCATAACCCCTCCCTTAAGGTGTCGGCCCATGAAAGGAAAGCAAAGTACAGCGGATTTTTTTAATAGTCTAAAGGTTACTAGTATGCATGAGAACACAACTGGTCGTACTTACCTCCTTCTTTTCTTTTTAGCTTGTACGCCAAGAGTAAAAAACGGCGCATTTCTGTTCATTTCACCTTTCACTCTGACATTCTTAACTTCGTTGCCGAATCTCAACTTTCTAACTTTCGTAGACTTCTTCTCTTCTCCGTCACTTCATGTGATTATTGTTGCTTATCTTTATGGTCGCATATGTATTCTGCTTCGGAGTATAACTGGCTCATTCTGATCACCTAACTGGCTTGGTGAAATCCAACAGTGGCACGAATGGAAGACCTGCATAACAGTGCGCTAGATAAAAAAATCTAAAGCAATTGTCCTTCCTTCCCTCTTCGTCCTTGCTCTTAAATGATGCGCAGTACGTGGCTTTGTTTAATATTTGTTTTCGTTGCTATACTCATTAACTGCGGAATGTCATGAACTTTTTTTTTTCAAATTACACATTGCGTGAGCTGCGTATTTGTTGCTTTCTACCTTTACGCAGAGAACACTGTTCTATATGTAATTTTTCGTTCAGCTTCTTTAAGAGTTCAAGAGCGATCGTTGCCTTACTTGAAAGCCAACATCTCCTTATATCGTGTCAATAAAGAGAGTTGTACATGGGAGGACCTTCCCTTCTGATTTTCTCACACTCAACGCCCATGCGCCACGTGCAGATTCAAGGACGAGGAGATATTCAAGGCACTGGGTCGCAAGAAAGCGGACGATATCCTGGACGCCCCGGCGTCACCACTGTCCCCGTACGGCAACAAGACTGCCGTAGGCGGCTACGGCGGCGACGGCTCCGCAGGAGGCTGCATATCGGCGTCACTGCCCGACAGGGACGACGCTCGCGTGGAACGACCTTCCGTCGCGTCGGCGCAGGATTTCGGTCTACCGGACAGCCTGAGCCCGTGCCTGAGTCCCGTCAGTCCTAGTCACTCGTGGCACGCAGTGCCGACCTCCTGGAACTGCGAGTCGAGAAAGACCGCTGCCGACTTTTGCGTGGGAGCTGCCACCACGTTGTCCGCAGCGGCGACCGGAGTCGCGGGCTTGGGAGCGGGTCTCAAGAAGAGCAACAAGGTGGCCGCCAAGGAGTCTGAGCCGGCGGTCCAGCCGTCCTGGCCCGAGAACCACGTCACTGCCATCGACGACCCTAGCGTAATGCATCCTGGCATCTGTGGCAGTGCTGTGTGCGGTGATGTGAGTGGTGGCAAAGACTCCTCCGAGGAGCGGTCTTCGTGGCCTGCCACGAGGAACACGTCCCCTTCGCAGTCTTCGTGGCTCAGGCATAGCTGCAGCTCGTTGAGGCAGCTGTCGTCACCTAGCGACACGGAACATGTGTGACTGTTCCTCCGAGCGGCGTGCTTCTTCGCGGCCAGTTGGTTTTACATCTGTGTGCGTATGCTGGTGAACGAAGTTTTCGGGACTGACAAGTTGTGACATTCATCGCATAGAACGTTATCGTGTTGCCACAGGCCTTCTGCAGAGTTCTGTATCTTTGATGTCCACAGATGTTTTTTTTTCCAACCTGTGCAAGACGCCGAGAAGCATCACCATCTAGCAAATTCACACTGTAGCACTTAGTCACGTTTTTTTTTTTTTTTTAATTTTGCACAAGGTATCAGGAGCATCTCTGGCGCCCTACGCGATGGTTCGCGCGCTGCTTGATGCATAAATTCTGTGCAGTGTTCAAAAGTATCTAGAAGGGATACCTGCCGCATTAACGAACAAAGCTCTCTCTATGCGCCACGGCTACTTTAAAATGCAGCAGTTTCGCTTTCCTCTTCTGCCCTCCCCGTGGAAGTACTGTGTGGTTGTGCGGACCTTTTGTACGACTAAGCATTTACCTAGAACAAGCGTTTCTAACTCCATGTAAGCTATACAGCGAACAATTCTTGTCATTTATACAATCCCTTTTGTTGAAAGTGCCCCCCCCCCCCCGAGAACACTATTTCCACAACAACGTCCTCATACGTATAAACTGTGGGATAGTAGATCTCTATTCTAGTCATTCGGCGCCAAAGTTTTGTGTTTATATTAGCCATTCCGGCTCATCTCTCTTACTTGTTTCTTTACTACATAAAATGAGCGTATTGAGAGAAGATGTCGCGATAACTTGGAGTTCGTGTAGTTTTCGCTTTAGGCGTGGTTTGTTATTCTATTTTCAGCAAACAAGCAGTCATAGAAATAATAACAAATGTACAGCGCACAATACCATGGCGTTTTGATAAGATCGAACGACAAGTAGCCCTTTTTTTTTGTACCACCAAGTTTGGCATAAATAAGCGGAATCAGAAGGTTGTGAATTAACCCCAGACACGCACAAGTTAAACCACACATTTCGCAAATAAATTAAAATAATAATGCGTAAACAATCTAATGATAAAGCAATTGTTTCTGTCCACAAGAAAAACTCACGTAATAGCTTGTAAAATTGAAATACTGTTTTCTTTTTTCGTTGTACCGCTTTGAAGATACGACCATACTCAAAGTGATTGAATCAAACTGAATTAAACTGTTGTGTATTACTATTAACAATGTTTTGAGAGACAGGAAATGAGAACAGATTAAACAACCTGCACACGTCAGCATAATGGTAGTTGCAGCAAAGAAAACATTACATAGACAATGCATTGTACACGCACGTAAGGACAGCAAGCATTCTTACGCATGTCAGCAGTTGGACTCTCATACAAAAAACGAAAACGTACAAAAAGTTAACAATATTATATAAGTGATATACACGGTGTATTAATAAGCGTCAGACTTCTTTTAGGGGGGAGAGGGGGGGCTGCACAAAGATTAGTTGCATCTCCAAATTCACGGCAAAGTTCTGGAAGTCACACAGCACTTTCTTCTTCTCAATGTTTGGCAGTAAACTTTAGGCATACGAATTTCGCGCTTCTTTCTCCGTGTTTGCCAAAAGATGACTGAGATAATCCTTACCACGCAGCCAGACTGCTCAGTCTCATATGATGCCCGCCAACTCATCGAACATCGAAGGTCGTAAGTCAGTTCCTATATCCACCTGCCAGATCAGAGCCTAAACACGAACGCTGTGCTGTTGTCGCGGTTATTGTGATCAACACTTAAAGCCACGCACCAAATCTGAAGCATTTATACTACTATACGGCACTGTTCTTAATGTTTTAATTAGGTACATACATGTTGAGTCGCACCTTTTCGGTTCACAGGCGCGCCACATCACGACTGCTACCTTCATCCGAATTCACGCGCACGTCCTAATTGCGATCGTGGTGTTCCCGCCTGCCGTTGCGGTTATTCGTGTTGTTTAGTTTTATTTTTAGGTATTTTTTCTGTAAATTATACGTACAAGTACGCTCTAAATTTTAATGAAAGAACAATTTGACGTCTACGGCAAAAATACTGTTACAAATTATCTCAACTACAGAAGTCATTTATTTTTGTTATCTAGTATTTTACGTTTGTTCCAGTCAGCCTTTTTGATTAAAGTATTTTCATAGCAGCTCAATTTTCACTCGTTAGAGCAACTCAAAAGAGCAGAATCCGGTTTCTTGGTGTGGTTTTGATAGGTTTAAGTACTTCAAATGACGCTTCTCGTGTTTCAAAATTTTCTTTTTAGAATCCATGAGGATCCAGCTGAAACCACAAACACATTCCTGGATCAAGCTGCACCTCGCACTTTCTCACGACGATCAAAAACATTCGACACTGTGAAAACACTTTAAAGCATCTGAGCTTTAAAGGCTAGCTTCTTGCAACAGCACTGACAATTGAGCGAGTTGGTGTGGGTTCATAGTTAAGAACGGCGCATGACAAAAGCGTGGCGAAACCTTGCGCGTTGTATCACCTAGTTTTTGTGACTATACGTGCCTGTATATATGTGTGAGTCGACGTGAACAAAAATTAGTTGCGAGTTCGGCGCCCGTCCTCGTGTTCTGATCGTTTTGTGCCCTGTGTTTTCTTTTCATTTTGCGCCGTTCTTGATTATGAAGTTTCTTGCAAGTTGTGTACGTCACACATGCAGCTATCAAAACGGAATCGTGTTGTGTGCAGACCACGGTGCAAGAATACTTTGGGTGAGCGAACGCCGGCACAATCCGCTGACCGATAATGTTCTGCTTCGCTAGGAACCTGGAAGATGGCGCTTCAAACTTTGCTCCAGCTAGCATTGCGAACCAAGACATATCGGGCCAAATACGAAGGGGTAGACACGGTATGCAGTGCGTGTGGAGAGGAAGAAGAAACTGCCGAACACTTGATAATGTTTTGTAAAGGGCTTCACCCTGTAGTTAAGGATGATGGCGCAGAGTTTTTCAAAGCACTGGGGTTTAGGGACCAGGAGGGCAAAATGGACGTTAAGCGGGTAGAATTAACTAGAAGGAGGTTATCTGATTGGTGCCTAAAGTCAAGGCACGAGTGAAAAGTAAACCCTCCACTGCAAAGTACGAATCCTCAACCTCACTATTTAAAGGGAAAAAATATAAATCTAGTTTTTGGTTCATTAAGGATTACGGCTTGGTGGCGCTAGCCACCGCCCGATCTAAAGGGTACAGCCATATCCATCCATCCATCGGCTTTCCCTACCCCCTTCTCGGTGTTGGATAGCCCGGTGATGTAGGAAAGTAGCGGTGCTCATTTATCGCCGCCACAACACCTTCGCCGCATCACCAACCTCCTCCCTCATCACCCTCTCTTTTGCGGCGCCGCTCTATGCGTGTTGCGTGGTTGATGTCGCTCGACTAACCGGTTTTCTCAGATTCCCAAACCATCGCTCACGTGCCGGGTGTGCTTTGTTGAATTTGCCAGCATCCCGCCATGGTCCTCAGTCCGGCGAGCCACCTATCGGCACGCCGCAAACGAGAACATAAGCGGTCCCTCCCTGCCAAGCGCTCGCTTCACGTCGTTCGCTCACCTAAAGTATTCTTGCACCGTGGTGTAGACCCTTTTTTTTTTTTCGTGCGCTATTTTGTCGGAGTTGCTCATTCGCTGAGACCTAATAGAGAGCTGTCGACGCTTTACTTCGATCACTGTTGTGCACACCCGCCAATCAGGTGGAGACAGCTTGGCGGCATTAGAATCGCAGCCAGCAAGAGCTGCCGGAGTGAAAGGACCGTTGCTGATATGAGCCAGTGCCTATACGCCTTAACGAGACGACACACCCCGCATTCTTTCACGGTAGGTGTTTTTTTTTTATTATTATTTCTAGGCAGTTCGTTTCAGCAACTTGTGAGGTTGTAGCCATGATTGCTGCTCTGGAAGTACACAGCTTCACGTCGTAGTGAGCGGCTTGGTGGCGTCACTTATTTCGTTACACGACCAGTCTGCCGCCACAGTTTTCCGCTGTAGCAGGCTATACACTCACCAACTTTGTTCGTTTAGTCTCTCTTAGTCACTTCTTTTTTTCTTCATTATTCTTATGAGCTTTTTCAATGCATCCTTAACGCAGCCAGATAACTACCCATAGCCGTTTCACTGTCGGCCCGTTTCGAGGCTGGCCGTCTAGAGCGTTTCAAAGTTCAAAGCGCAAACGTGTGCCCTCATTCGCGTCCCCTCGTTGTTGTTGATGTTTTTTTTTCTATTTTCTAAATCTACCCGTTATCCGAGTGTTCCCGCTTGCGTGATAGTCCCATGATTATACCCATCGTTGACCTGCGCTTTGCAATCTCTGATGTTCTTTTCTTCAATTGTGTCGAACATTCGATGCATTCGCCGTGGCACTTGATGTTCTTCTAAGTGTCATATGATTGTTTGTGTGTGATATTCATGGTTATAACGAGTTTTGACGACCGTTAGTGCATATTTTACCGGCTGTCCCATTAAGTGTTTTCTATCCACATCACCTTTTACGCCGGTGATCTCAGCATCTCTTTTTCCTCGTCCAATCGCGGGGAGACGCTGTTTATTCGCGTTAAACGTTGCCAGTTCAAGTAAGTTATGGTGTCTTGCACGCGCATACGTAAATTTTATTTATTTTAGCGTAAAGGGGACTACAACTATTTAGTATAAAACCACTTGCCAGTATAGAGCTTTGTGCAGTTTTGACATTTTGTAGCCTCACTGTCCTTGTGATGTGAAAGAGCTGTCTTTTTTTTTTTGTAATTATCCATGCATCCCTGTAAACAACGGCTTATGCAATGTAAACAGTGTCGATTTACCCGTCGATAAGCGGCAGCTTCATCAACGCGCTTTTTTCAAGCTCGTCTTCGAGATTAATAAAGATCACACTCAAACTGTGTGACAAGCACTCACAGTACAGCATCCTGCATGCAAGTCCTGGATGTCGAGCATTTGCTACTTGTGTGTGAACCAAGAACAGCGAGCTATAAAGTCCATCCACGAATAGCTTGGCGGAGGATTCGGGAAAACTTTGTCGCGACG